TACCCTTCGCTCCTACCTAGTAGCCACTAAGAGAGGAGGAGTTTTACAAAGGAACCGTCGCCACCTCCGCAAAACTTGAGAATCTTTACAATGCTCCAAAAATGAGGTTTCTGAGGATATTCCTGTTGCTAACTCTATTCCTGCTGCTGACCCTATTCCTGCTGCTGACCCAATTCCTGTTGTTCACCGTTGTCGTAACTTTCACATTTTAGCGACAACTTGTGCGGCTCCTCACCTTTTCGCTGGTTTCTAAAGCATAAAGCCTGTTTAAAGCTAAAGCCTTTTAAAATTGTTTTTCCGCATGCGGCTTGATCGTTTGCAACGTAAACGTCATGAATGTAACTTTCAGTGAAAAACGTATATCCCTTGGAACGAGGAGAGATGGCGGTTGCAGCTTTGGAAGAGTTTTTCTTTCATTCTGACTTTGGTCGTTGTGTTTATGGAGACGGTGGTACCATAGCGAAAATCTGACTGGTAGTCACAATCATTAGGGCCGAATGATCACTGTGGCAAACATTGATTCATCCCTAATCAAAATGACAGCGAGTGACCGTAAAATTAGACAAAGTGCAAGCTTACACGTGAGTGCCGATCAAGAGCGAAATTCGAGGACAGAGAATCGTTTTAGTCTTTTAAAATGCAGTTCTTCGATATCGTTTGGGGTGGCAAAGCATAGTGGAGTTACCGTGAACAATAAAGTAAGTTTACCTTGAATAGAATTGCGTAAATTTGGTCTTCCTTGAAATGATAGTCGTTTCAAGTGAAAAAACCAAAAAACTTTGCGCCTAGCGAATTGGAAAAAACAGCACCATGCTCACAGGTTTCATAATCCCCTCCACAAAAATTCAAGTTATGATCCAAAACCAACACAGGCAGATGAACTTTTAGTGGAAATTCAAAATGGCAATGGTTATTCAACCGGTTTTGGTCGTTCAGAATGAACTATGACCTCGAATTCTGGCCTTTCATAGAACGAGTGCCACGTGACAGTCAGTTTTCCTCACGTAGAATCATTTGGCTTCAAGTGCCTTAGACTTTAGTCATGGAAAGTGATACATGAATTCCAAACAGCTGGTAGTAGGCCTTTTATCGAAGAAGAGCTTTGTAAGTACAGACAATTATAAAAAGTGGCAAGGCTCAGAAAAAAACGTCTCAAGCATGACACTTTAGCAAACTCTAAATGTTCCAGAGTCCATAAAGTAATGTCCTAGAATCAATAACGCGTATCTTGAAAAAAAACTTAGAAGCGAACCGCGGACCCCCGTCACTTCGGATAACTTCAGGTATGCCATGTCTACTGAATTGCGCCTTCAGTTCTTCTACCATTGCTTTACATCTCAGGTCTTGTAGCCTGTCCACTTCAATAAACTTCGAGTAGTAGTCGACTGTCAGCAAGTAGGCTTTGGACTTAAAATCGAAGAGGTCTGTCCCCACCATCTGTAGGTATTAGCGGCTCAGAGGGTTGTTTCCTTTACTTGGTACAGTTTTTAACAGTTTCCTCAATGTCAGAGTTCATAGCTGGCCAACGAGCGCATTATTTGCATTTAATTATACCAGGTGTGACTCATGGATTAAGTTCAGCATTTGTCGCCGTAGGCTGGGGGCACTATGATTAGCATTCCTTTGTAAATGATTCCATCGGATACTTCTAGTTCACTTCTAGAATCCCAATACAGCCGTAGTGCTGCGGGTACTTCTTTTCGAACGTTTAGCCAGCCATTCAAGAATATTGTTTGTAGCTTGTTTATCTCACGCTGAGTGTGCTCTTACAATTTAGTGTACTTGTCTTTGGTGACGGATAGAAAGTGCAGAGTGCATACTCGTTCCAGGCCAGTGATCTCGGGATTGGGCGTATCAGGTGGATATGCTCTTGGTAGTGTCGGGTAAATACATTTCTTTGCCCTTGCGGGTCATACCGCTCAAGTTTAGTATCATTCTCTGTGGCCGCTCTGTTGCTGCTAGTGGTGGTTTTTTCATAATCTGTTCGAGGAACTTGTGATCTTTGTACATGGTCACTTCCTTGCCGAAGATGTAAGATTGAAACTTCTCGCATGTATGCACAATGGTCAGCATTTCTTTTTTTAATTTTTGCATAACGTCCTTCGTCATCGGTTATAGAACGTGAGGAATAGGCAATAGGTTGGCCGTCTTGAATGAGTACCGCACCGAGGCCATGGTGGCATGCGTCACACTGTATTTCCACAAGCTTATATGTTGACGTCGAAGTATTTCAGTACTAGTTGACGACAACATTGCACTTTCAGTTTAAGGAAAGCCTCTTCTTGAGCTGACTCACTAGGGTGAAAATGAAATTTGCAAGGTAGGTGACAAGCCTAGAAATCGTTAGAAATCGTTTGACATCGTCTTTGTTCTTCGGGGTGGGGATAGCATGGACAGCTGCTACCTTCGATGGGTTCGGCTTCACTCCTACAGGTATCAGGAGGTGTTCTATGTATGGGACGTCTAATTAAGCACTTCTGAAGATTTAGCTTCAAGTTGTAGCTTGTTACACTTTCGGTGACCGTGCGAAGCGCCGCGTCATGATGTTCAGTGTTTGATCCTGCGATTAGAATGTGATCCATAATAACTGTGACTCCCTCTATTCCTTCCAGCATCTCATCCATGATTCTTTGAAAAATTTCGGGAGCGCACTTGGAAGTCTTAACCACCTTTACCGGCCGAGTGGCGTATTGAACGTGGTGAGCATGGAAGAGGCTTCATCAAGCTTGATTTGGGGGAATCCACTTTTCACATATAGCTTGGAGAATACCTTGGCGTGAGGTATTGTGCTGATGACTTCCTCCGTGGCTCTCATAGGATGATGCTCACGCTTTATGACCTTCTTCAAGTCACTGGGATCGATACAGATTCGGACTTTGTCGCCTTGAATCGAAACTAATATTGAGCTAACCCACTCGGTTGGCCCTGTTACCTTGAATTTGTAGCCACTGGCTTCCATTTCATGGAGTTTGTTGATGGCCCGTTCCTTTAGCGCTACCAGTAGGCGGTGGGTAGCATGGACCACGCCTTTGGTGTTAGGTTCCAGTTTGATTGTGTAGGTTCCAGGCAGTGTACCGGTCGTTTGAGTGAGGTATGGGAACTCGTGAACTACTTTGGGAACTTGATCCCCCTCGGCAGCGGAGAGCGTGTCAACGGATGCTGGTCTCGAGATTAATTGTGGTGCTTCAGCGGCGTTTCCTGATATTAGGTTTTCTTCTTCGATGTCAACAATCTGAAATGTGGTGGTGGCTAGGTTATTGTTGTGTTCCAAAGACAATTCAGCCACTGCTACAAGCTTAATCAGATGATTGGAGTAGGTACGAAGGAGTTTTGTTTATCTTTTGAGTTCGCCCTCGTGTTGGATCTTCTGGTTGTCAGAAAGGATAAGTGTGTTGCAGTGGGCACCCGTGTCAATTTTGAACTTGATTAGTTTGTTTTCCCCTCTGAATCTTGTGGTCCTTTTGTCATCTGGTATGATATCGGCAGGCTGAGTCATATGGATGTGTAGCACCTCTGTAAATGAATCGTCATCTGAGCTGGTGTCAACCTTGTGTACACGAAGGCGGCGATTGCACACTGCTAACCAATGGTCTGGCTTCTCACAGTAGGAGCGTATGGATCCCAGGGCGGTACATACATTTTCCTTGATTCCAGTCGTGCTGAGGGTCTTTGCCACACCTAGGACAGTGCTTCCCATTTTTCGAGTCAGGTTTCCTCGGACCGAGTGGACGTATTTTGCCTTGGGGTTTCGGTTTTTTCGGATCCAGTGCTAAGATGGGAGGTTCCTCATCGCGAACAGCGCGTATTTGCTTCTGGGACATTTCGTATTGTGGCCTATTTCGATGGCTTTGGCTAGAGTTAATTCTTCTCCCCGATCAAGCAGTTTCTCTTCAAGTTTCTTTGCGTGTATTCCATCAGTGATCGAATTAATCAGAATGTCATCAGGGTCGGTATATTCACGGTCCTGAAGAATGAGACGAAGATCTTTCACAAACTTGTAGAATTACTCGCCTGTGTTTTGTTTACGTAATTTCAGCTTTTGCCTTGGGATGCGCTTGTTTTTTCGTGGTGGTAGGTAGGCCTCAAGTTTTTCAAGGACTTTTACTGGATCTCCTTTTTAAGTCGTGAATTGCGCACATGCGCAAGAGCGAGTTGTAGATATGATGTGGAGAATGGCACTCGCTCGCTCGCTCGGTTGATCGACTCCTGTAAACTTTTTTTCGATTTGAGGCTTTTGAGTGCATTTGATAGTTTTTGGCGGGCAATAAACAAAGGAAATGGCGACATTTGTTGCTAAGAATAGTGGTGGGGTGAAAAGGAAGCCAATGATAATCTTAAAAGAGTTTTTGTTTTTTTCGTTTTAGTTTCAACAAGCAGCGCCAGCGAATGGCAGGCATGCAAGGATTCACACCGAAATAACAGAACAACCTTCGTTTTTACATAAAATTGTAATTTACAATCCTTGAACTTGAAAACAATCCGAAGATTCATTGAAAATATCACTTACTGCCAAGCGCTCGGAGTTTACAGATGTTCAAAAGCTTTTTCTGTTATGGCATGAGATTGAGGACAAAATCGATCATTGCTTTTCGTATCGTGTGTTTTTCCTGTGTGAAGCAACAAAAGATGCCGGCGACCGACGAAATTACAAGTTATCACGAAAAACAAACAATTTTAGCTACCGATTTTCAGTGAATTTTAAAGAACAATTTTCGTTTAAGTTTCAAGACAATTTGTATCCAGTCTGCAGTCTGCTGTCTGCATTTTGTAGTAACAGGTATCCGTGGCACCAATACAGTTTATTTTTGGTGACATTTATTCGCGCAACACACATAATTTACCACAAAATACCTGTGTGTGAGGTAATTCGACATTTTCGTTCTTTTCCGCGTTAATACTCTTCTTTCCCTTTGTAAGAATGTAGACCACTAACAATGTTTCAAGTAATCCACCCACCCTACAAAAAATACCTCTGGCATGCAGAGCATACCTGTGTTTTGAAATAGGTGTATGCCCTTAGCCAGACTTGAGCTCACTATTTCAGTATACCAGTCCGACACCCATAGTATCACTACACTTGATTCCAAGGATCCAGTACCATCCAGGTATCCCAGTTACCCTGCTCACAGGGTCTAGTATCACTCAAAACTCGTTCCCGTTTGTCTCATTTGATAAAGTGGGAATCGTTAATGTTTTCATTAAGACAGTATTGCCTTGGTTTTCTAATATTTACAATAATAGACAGTAAATTTCACTTTTCACCCACATTTACTTCCAACCTTTTCTTTTGAACCAGAAACAAAAATGATATACGTTTAAAACACATGACATCATCCACCCTTGTCAATTGTAATAGCGTGATCATTTCAATTGTAAGGCCTTCTCATCCAAACGCTACTTTGTTTCTTTGCTGCGAACACTGAACTACTTCTCGTACTCTAGATATGACAATCAACCACAAAATTCCCTAAACTAGATAACATTAAACATAATCCAACAATAATGTGTCAATTCACGAGTTTGCTCACAGAGCACTTTGATTCTCCTTCTCCCCACTGGAGCGGCTTGTATATTTCACGGCCTTGTGGCCCTATCCATGTTCCGAGCCATCCGGCTTTTGCCTCTGCTTTGAGTTTGCTTAGCGGTCCGACAAACACGAAACCAACGTGATTGCGAAAGCGGCTGAACTCCTGATACAAATCCTAGCTGTCCCAATCATTATGCGTGTGATCAAACGATATCTGAGACATCATCTAGGATGAGATTCGGTTTCGGATGGCTTTAAAGCGAGGATTTTTTAGATTTTGTGATCCATTTCTGACACCATGTAACATACAAAAGCCATGATGATTTAGATATTTGAAATTCATATTTCTGCACCGCGGTGAAGAGATTAAATTGAGAGATCCTCGCAGCTAAGAACACTACTGAAACGAGTAGTTGAAACTAGGACCTGAAAAAAATTCAGGCCCGTACGGAATTTGAACCCATGACCTCTGCGATACCGGTGCAGCGCTCTACCAATTGAGCCAACAAACCAACTGGGAGCTGGTCAACGTGTTGGGTCCAATTAAACCATCCAAGTGATGAATGATAATTTTAGATATATGAAATGCATATATTTGCACTGTGGTGAAGAGATGAAATTAAGAGATCCTTGCAGCTAAGAAAGCCATGTTTTATCTTGCCGTCCTGTAAGCGTGCGATACAATTGTGTACCGCTAGACGGCATCGGCCGTATACGTTACACTTCATTAACAACTTCTTCGAATTCGTCGGCCCATTCTTGTACCGCCTCATTGTCTTCGCCGTTCGCGAACTTCTGTTCCTCAATGGATTCCTTTAACTTGACTACTACAGTCACTAGGGCCTCAACGGAAACTTTGTGTCTCTCAAAGGCCGTTGATCATATTTCTTTAAGACATCTCCTGTCTTCTTTAAACGAAAATTCAACGTCTTCAATTTGCTCTCAAGTTCGGCAATTTGTTTGTCCATGATTTCCAACGCTGTCCTTGCAGGGTCGCCACTGTGTCGAAAACGTGAAAAAGCTTTACCACGCTTCCTTATTAACTCACGATGTATTCACTTGATTTAACGATTTTACTACAAAGCTCCGTTTAACTCCCACTCACTGCTCTCGGCTTATTCGAAAAGAAACACACCCTCAACATAACGGGGTCAATATTGCTTTATTTCTTGATGATGGTTGGCTTATCGATATTGATCGAAACTCATGCGCAGTCCTGGCTGCTGATGTTAGGTCTGATTTAAAGAGGGCAGGCTTTGTCACCAACGACGAGAAATCGCAGTGGTGTCCGACCCAATTATTTAACGGTTGGGTATTATATGGGATGCTGTCAACGGTACAATTCGTATTTCGAACAACGGAAATAAACATCGCAGAATCTTTATGTAGGAGCCTCCTCAAAGACACTCGTCCCGGCGCGGGAATTATCTTCCTTCGTGGCTAAAATTATTACCGCTGGGGCAGCTTTTAGCGACATTTTCCGAATTATGACTAGGTACTGTTTTGTACATTACCATGGCGGCGCACGGCGGTTCCACAGATAGTCAAGAGAGTTTAGACATTTCTAGGCATGGAAATGACTCCCCACCTTCTTCTTTACCCACGCTGGATAAGGACTTTGCTTTATCTTCCTTCGTGGGTAAAATTATTTCCGCTGGGGCAGCTTTTAGCGACATTTTCCGAATTATGACCAGGTACTGTTTTGTATCGGTTGCGTCCTCTTCGGACTGGGACTCTAGGTTTCATCCGGATTAATACTGTTTTAGGAAACTTAATTTCTGGAAAGAGAATTTGACACGATTAAACTTGAAGTCAGCAGTGGATTGTCTGTCTAAAACATCTAATTCACGCAGTTTATTCCGATGCTAGCCCCACAGGGTGCGGTGCCCACTTGGATCTTAACGGTGAACAAGTATGTCATAAGTTATGGAATGTAGATAATTGTGGTAAAAGTTCCACGTGGAGGGAGCCGTCAGCTATTTTGTTCGCCCTGCAATCGTTTTTGCCTCTCCTTAAAGGCTCTTCCGTGAAGTGGTTTACTGATAGTCAGAATGATTGTAAAATTATACAAGTGGGAAGCATGTGGAGCGATTTGCACTTAATCACCATGGAGATTTTTCAGTTTTGTGTCGATTATAACATTGCGTTGGAAGTCCGGTGGATTCCTCGTTCTGAAATTCACAAAGCGAATTATATTAGTCGTATTATTGATGTAGACGATTGGCAAATGTCAGCCGCTTGCTTTGCGTCTCTAGACATCAGCTGGGGGTTCACACCGTAGATTGCTTTGCTAGTCCTTATAATAAGAAAATTGGCAAATTTTTCTCTACATTCTGGAATCCAGGCTGCTGTGGGGTGGATTCTTTTTTTCAAATCTAGATGGCGAATATTGCCTTGGTGTTCCCCCTGTAAGCTTAATTTCTCGAGCGATTCACTATCTATTTGCTTCTAAGGCCACCGTCACTGTAGTTGTGCCCTTCTGGCCATTATCATATTTTTGGCCAATTATCTCCAGGAAATTTGCCAGTTCCATAGAGGATTATACTTGGTTCAGTGCTAAGGATGCATCAGAGTATGAACGGAACACCAACTCGTTTTTGGGTTGTGACAGATTTACTGGACTAGTTTTAGCTGCTCGTATGAAGCTCTCTTCTCTCTCTCTCATGCTTTTAGGTAATTTCATCAGTATTGCTTGGTTGACTGTCAACTTGTTGAACAGGGAAAAGAGACATGAGACGCTTGTCATTGAGTGTGTACAGTGAAAGGGGCGCTGGCCTGAGTTGAAGATGGAACGGTTTTTGTAGGCACTGCCGCTGGCCGACAGCCTTTATGACGGTCGATTTGAAACGAGAACGGGAGGTTTAACGTGTATGTCGTCTATTACCATAGCGTTTTTCTCGTTGCAGATGTTTGATGTGGACGGCCACTGGAATCATCTTCAGGCCAGGATGGGGCTAGACTTGATAGATCTTCTCTTGATGCTACTGAAATCTAAAGCGGAGTCTACATCGAAAAGAGACAAGAAAGAGATTCTTAGGTTTCTTTAATGGTGTAATTTGTCCAATGCTAGGCCGGTGCCGTCTTTCTCTGTCTCTCTCGCAGTTTCCTATCTCTATAAAGTTTACAAAGCTCAAACTCTTATGCCACATTAGTGTTGTCTTATGCAGCTCTTAAGTGGTTTCATTCTTTCTTTCCATGTAACGACAACAATCCACTCAATAGTTCAGTTGGCCATAATTTGCTGGAAGCGGCTAAGTGTTGCAAGCCAGTTGCTGTTAAAAGGGCACCCATACCTGCCGATATTATTAGAAATATAATTAATAAGTATGCTGGTCCATCAGCTAATTTAAAGAATTCACGTTTAGCTTGTATTCGTTAGGTTTTTGCAAGGTTTTTTCGTTATGATGAGCTGAGCAACATTTCTACCGCGCATTTAAAGTTTTGTCCTGAATACATGAGGGCGTTTGCTCATAGGGCGAAGAATGACATATACCGGGAAAGTAATTATGTTTATGTCAAGAGGCTAGGTAACAATTATTGTCCCGTGGCACTTTTAGAAAGGTATATTTTAATGGGAGATACTAATCTCTCTAGCTCCACTGCGCTCTTCAGACCAGTAAGGCTGTTTAAATCTACTAGTGAGTACAAGTTGTATGGAGGGAAGTTATCATACACTAGGTGTAGGGAAATCATTAAGGATTGTCTTAAAGAACTCGGTTTAGATCATAAAATGTATGGCCTCCATAGTTTAAGATCCGGAGGTGCTACCTCTGCTGTTAGTAACAATCCTAACCTATCAGAAAGGTTACTTAAACTTCATGGACGCTGGAAGTCGGATACTGCGAAGGATATGTATGTCTAAGAAGACGTCCCTGATCGTTTACAAATGAGTGGTCAGATAGGCTAATAGCAACCCTCATTAATGGTATCATTTCTAACGAGCACAGTGGCTTAATTTGGTTCTGATCGCATGTCATTAATTACTTATCAATGCGTACTTTGAGTTGTAAATTTAAATGTCAGTTTTGGATTGCCTGAGCAACCAATCATCAAGCTGTTGTGGTTATGTCTTTCTAGTACTGAAAGGGAAAATAATTTATGTTTGTTTGAGCGTAGCGACTTCGAACATAATTACATTAGCCGCCCTTCGAGTGAACAACTAAGAGCTTACTCTGATATCCTTTCCGATGCGTTAAGTGGAAGGCCACATCAGTCACTGAAGCCGAGTTTACGGCGCGGTCACCCCGAGCAATCTTTACGTTCCTGTGAATTCCGCTGTCCTTTATTCATAAAACACTCGCCTTGAGCATTTGTTTTTTCTAATTGCCATGTGAAAAAACTCGCGTGTTTTTATGAGCTTCAATTCGTTCGGATTTTAAGGAATATTTTACTCTCAGATTCTGTATTAGAGACTAAAAAACTGCAGGCAAAATTGTTAAATTTGACTCGCCGCGCCGAACTATTTCAGTTTGTAAACTATTGCTAATTGTGAACTTTGATGGTTTTACGTTTTTGACAGCTCTAGTCTTGCTCAACCAATAAGATTACTCGAACAATGCTAACAAGGATTCTGATTAGCTTATTTTAGCGTGCTTTATGAGAGTATAGAGCATGCTTGTGACATTGTTGTTCGCTTTGAAAATTAAATTTGTTTTCAAAACTGAAAGTAATGCGTGGGGAATTGAACTGTTTCTTTATTATAGAACAAATAGAGAAGCCGTGGCTGTGCTCTATTCTGTTTTAAAGCACTTAGGAAGCGGCTGGAGCACTTAAGAGGTGGAGAGAAAGACTCTAGTACGTCATGTGTTTCTCCCTACACTTCTTTCGTGCTCTAACCACTTCCTACGTGCTTTACAGCAGAACAGAGCGCAGTCAAGGCTTCTCTGGGTGTTAATTAAAGGACGGCTTGGGAGACAGACTTGCATGATCTTAACTCTGCAAATAAAATGCAAATTAGCTAGGCTAATTTCCTTCGTAAATTACTAAAACCCTTATACGGCAAGAGTCGTAAACCTTTGTCTAAGCAGGACTAAAGCTTTAAATCTCTATTTTTTTTTTCTTATCAAACTCTATTCTCCTGTCATGTGAGTTTATGTCGAATCAGTTGCATGTAATTCTGCATTGTTTTAACTTAAAGTTGGTCAGTTTACATACTTTGCAAAACTTTTCACTTGTTTTTCTTCCTATTTTAGGGTTTCAGAGGCAATAACGTTAGCAACGCCGGCTTCCTTTTCGTCTGTCGTTAACGTTTCATGATGATCTGAGCGAAGACTGCATTAAATGATGAAGTTTCGATATTCAATTCAGGTATGTAAAAGTGTATTCAAGTGCATTTAACTTTTAGATTCATTTTCAGATTAACTGTCTGTAGTATGAGAACTTTGTTTAGAAATGTGAAGCTAATCCAATAATTACTTTGGTGTTTAGTGGACGAATTTTCCGAGTTTGTGCATTCACTGAAATCAACTATTTTTGCTCTGTATTACCTTAATTTCTTCTGCATTGTGTTGCATGCAAACTGGATTTTCTCAGCAAATCATAATGTAGAGGTTTTAAATTTTTAAAGGACATGTAGAAGTTTGAATTTTTAAAGGGGCGGGTAACATTTATGCGATGCATGTCGCGCGCTAATTGTGAATTAATTTCTAAATATCAATTTCGCGCGGAAATTGTGAATTAAAACAAGTACTAGTTTTGGCTTCCAGTTGTAACGCGAATGGTTAAATAAATCAATTATTTCCCAATAAAATTCATATTCATCTATCATTTAAACTGCACAGCAAAATCATATACACCATTTGCCACCTTATCTCCGACCTATTAAATTACAAGAGTTATGTGACAAGTCGATGGTCTGAAAAGACTCTTATTACATGCCAAACCACAAAGAACCAGTAGGGTGGATATTTAACAGTGAGGATGAAAAACAATATATTTCCAAAAGCCTTTTTTTTCATGAAAACAAAACTAAATGAGGTCATATTAAACTAAAGTGGAGAGGTTTGTTGATCTCTTTATGAAAATGGATGATTTACATCTATCACATTTTAGAGAAGTGAGACAAGTCAAAAGGGAACTTTGACATTGCATATTTAACAGTTATGGGTATCGGCTTGGATGCCTATTTGAGGAAATTTATCGTTTTTCTAGCTAGGGGTTTGGCTGTGTCAATAATATGGCAAACAGATCATATATCAGTCACTTGAGAAATTTTATAGCTGTCACTGGAAGCTCAAACACTCTTAAGGAGCAAGACAATATTTCACCTGATCACTCTTCATATTCTTTTCCAATGAAATTTGGACAAAACTTTCAAAAACTTTATTGGTAATTTTACTGTTGCAAAAAAAGTATAGACACAAGTTGCACATAGCATAAGCTATTAGTCAAGGCAAGTTGCATGGAGAGAACAAAAGAGTTATAATTTATACCACTGAGTAGTAAGCTTTTTGTTCTAATAACAATCTCTTGAATACCAGCTTGCCACAGTAAATGTCATACCTATCCACTCTGTCAATAGTACCAACTAGATGTATTGGGGTCACTTTACATCTCCCTAAGCAGCAGAGAACATAAAAGTTAATTCCTATCATCAGTCTCAATTAAGAAATAAAAATTGAAGGATCAAGCCATTTCTGGCAAAGTGAAATGCAAGTCAAAGTGGCTTGAATACATTTTAACACGGAATTCGTTTTTAAATAAAACAGAAATACTGTAGTTAAATTTCTAAAGAAACAAGGAGTTCCAGCCCCATAATAATGATCTATTTGTTGTATCACTCGTCTCATATTTTACGAACCAGAGAAAGTTTGATAATTTTAATCTGCGAGTGTCATAGTACACTTCGACTCAAAATTCATTTCGCATGGCAGAAGTATTCTGCTGAAATAAACATTACAGAATGAAGCTGACGCCATTCGTTTCGAATAACACATGAACGTTAAGAAAATGGCACCAGTTTAAACTCACGAGATAAAGCCCATGCATTTTTTTTAGGTAAATGAACTGGTTAGAACGAAAGCTAAATATATAGACAATGAACCGTCAGTGGCGAAGGATTTTGGGGGCCATGTTGTAAATAGGTTCTGCAGAAGTTTATCCTCTAGCGAGCACTTCAAGCCCAAAAACGGCAATTCTGGAAATTCTCACCAAAACACAGCAACAAAATAAGATAAATCCGGAGATGATTGAGGCAAGACTATAACCGTTGTTAAGACACACGCGTACATACCATGTACAACAAACTTGGACGGCAAAAAGATCAAAGACAGTTCTGAGTCATGACTTGGAAAATCCACCTCAACCTCCCATAACGAATTCGCCGAAGGTTGAAGTAAGAGCAACTAAATCCCGAGGCTGGAACATTTTTTAGAGCCTTGTATCCTATGTGACTACAAAGCGAAAGAAAAAACGATGTTATTTGAAGTGATTTGAAGCTTGAGGGCCACCTCGAACGTCACGCAATTTTATTTCAAGTTGAAGTGAAATAGGAAAAAATTCTAAACTACTTTCTATCTTCGCAACAAATATCTCACGATCGTCTCCACATCAACTTCGTGATTCCTAGAGGTAAGACATCAACATCTTAAGACTAACCTTCAAGGTTTGAAGTCTCATGTGCACATCTTGATCGTCAGTAAATCAAATCTGAAACTTCAAGTTTTCGGCCTTTTTTCGCGTTTTACTCGCAATATTAAAATACCCTCATCCGAAGAGCCAACAAACTCCACGAGTATCAACAGAATTAGAAATGGTGGTAAACTCGTCATAATCTTTCATCCCTCTCAAAAAAATATTACAAAAGGTGTGGATTGCCCAGTTGAAAACCCGCGGAAGCGCATTCAAAATATCAAAATGGCGCTAAACTCGCCGAACAAATTTTATCGGCGAATGCGCAACGAAATGCCCTTCTGCCTCCTTCTGCCTTCTGTCACTCTGTTTGTGTCTTAGGTAATTTTGTGTCAATGTCACGTTATCGTTGCATAACTCGCTATATAGTTACATCATGTATTCTGAAGTTTACGGATGAAATCGAGCAAGGCGCTGTTTTCGGGAATTCATAGTCAATTTGGCTACTTGTGTGTCTTCCCTCTGCTTTGACTCGCCTTTGCATAACAGTAGAGTGGTTTAGCAAGAGGAAGGGAACGCCATTTCAGAACGGGAAAGCGCGTGGATAATCTGGACACGACTCTATTTCGACTTCAGGTGTTAGTGTTGCCGTTCTCCCCATCAAGTTCAGGATGTCATTTCGCTGGTTTTCCTGTCGTGATCAAAACGCCTAGGATTTGCGTTAATTGTGCACTTATAAACGAGATAATGTTGTTTAGAATGATTTCAGAACTCATTTCCAGGATAATCAGGTTCCTTTCTTTTTTTTATTCGGTGAATTTGTGAAAATATTACCGCTACAATTATTCTGGATTCCCGAAAGGAAACACGATCGTCAGCAAGCGATCTAAGATTTTAGGGCTCAGTTACCTTTTGTAATTGAGCGTGGCTTTAAGCAACGCAAGGGCCTTTCTTTGATACAGACGTAAAAATTGACAAATTTTAACCGTTAGTCGTAAAAAAAGTCAACCGTAAAAAATATGTCTGGTGGAAACAATGGAAAGGTGTTAACCGTTAGCCGGAAATTGGCCAAAATTTTAACCGATAGCCGTAAAAGCCATCACCCCATTGAGACCCTCCTATAACGTGGACGGTTCGTTAAAACGACTGCTAAGTCACTTTTTAACACAACGCGACGGCGTTCTCGACCCAGTTTTTTCTCGACATTTCTTCTCCGTGCGCCGTTTGGAAACGACTTTCCCGTCCTCTTGCTAAACACTCTATAACAACTGAGTTGAAAACGCAAATTTTAGTTTTCCGCCATGGCTTGGACTTGTCATGCGTGTATAGAAAGTCTCAATCATATTGGAGCAGAATGGGAGCACATTTACGTCAGGCATTCCTATCGTTCAGATGTTGATGATGTTTCCTTATTTCCTCCATACTTTCCCTTACGGGAAATTTTCAATGGATTCATAGCCGAGCTTCAGGAAGGCAATCTACAAGAACGAATTGATTCAAGTCACGGATCGATTAGACTCGTTTACCATTGCCGGTTTAATTTTTTTGTGGGTACCTTTCCAGATCCAAATCAGCGCCGAAGAATGGGTCGCATCATACATTATGCAACCCGTTTTGTTAAAGTCGTATGTGCTTCTTCGGAATGCCTCTCCTGTGGCCGTCAATTTCCCAGCTGGGTAATTACCATGTATCCACATTAAGACGTCAACTAATCGAGAAAGACGTTTATGGAATATAAATCCAACGTTCCCGCAAAAGAAGATGAAGAGCTTGCTATTATACTGTTATAATTGGAAAAGCCAATCAAGATGATTTAGCTCAGTCTATATAAATGCGTTAGATACTAGATGAGTCAAATTAAGAAACAAACAGAGTTATACCTTGCCAATGCAACTGAGATATTTACATTAAGTTGAACGACATATAAAGAATTATGCTCGATAATTTGGCTCTCCTCTTTTATGGTAAATAACAGAGATATGATATCCATTCCTGGAGAAAAGATTTGATTTATTTCATTCCTTTACAACATTTTAGGGTCTTCTCATACAGGTACTTCCTTAGGAGATTGAACTAGGCTGACAAGTCTCGTTAATGTCGATAAATCAAGAGTTTCTTAAGTCGGTGATTATATCAATACCATGCTACCTCACTAGGTCGTGATGCATGGAAGAAGCTGATTGGTCCTGATTTCCTGCAGCAGCACTGTAACCAAGAATAGTTCAATTCGCATGTGGCTGGTGATGGATTCAGCTGGGTATGAATGGGTATCATTGGCGTTTCATTCACTGAGTCAGTGAAATAAAATCACTTTTCTCTATATATTGTAGTTACTCAGTCGAAAATCTGTCTCTCATGGGAGATTTATCACTTTTACTCTCTCTTATATACTAAGGGCTATTACGAAGTGCAATATCTCTTGTTAATAACACGAACACGGCTTTCAAAACTCCTTCAAGTGATCAACTGGTAACTTCTCCCAAAAATATCCACCCACTGATTAGTAAACATGTAATGAGAATACTCAAACTAGTCAGGTAGTTGTTGTTACTTTGATCTAATAACAAATTCTTGTAACTAATATCCAAGGAAATGTGTAACAGCTAGTAGGGAGTATTGAGAATTAGATCTTGAGAATTAAATGATCAAGTACAGTCTTTTTAGATAAGATTTCAAAGTGCAACAGGTAACTGAGACCTTAAAAATGAACAAAATATAACACGTGGAACGAACTAAGAAATCAATAAATGTCATAATTTCTAAAAAAAAACTGTGGCATGGCACTTAAACACCTTAACTTCTGATATTTATACATTGATTTTTGACAAATTTCACATCTCTCCGAGCGAGGAGGCGTAATATTTGTGCCCTGCAACACAAATTGCTTGTTTGTGATTACTCTCTCGGAGACATCAACTGAGAAAAAGATTTCTTCAAAGGAAAAATTCTCTACGTCTTCTTGAGAACTTAATGTTTCTTATCCCTTTATCACCCTGACAATTAACTTCCGCAAGAACACAGTTATTCTTGACACGGAATCGCTCGATGAACACAAACTTTGTGAATTAGGCTGATATTTTAACCTTTAAACTCCCAGAAGTGATTAACATGTAACTTCTCCCTATAATATCCATAAATTGTCCGACAAACTGGTAATGAGAATACTCAAACTTATCTGATAGAAGTTGTTATTTTGATCTAGCATCAAATCCTCATAACTAAGTTACAAAGAAATGTGTAGCAGCTCGAGTGGAGAATTAGCAATTAGATCTTGAGAGTTAACGGGTTAACATTTTATCCACAGACTGTGTGGTAGTTGACAATTTTGAATGAAATTAAGTTTTTATGAGAGGGCTAGACACGAACACTTAAATTACAGGAAATATATGGCAGACCATGACAATAGGTGACCAGTTATAATTTTATCACCAAGAGAGGGGGGCTCAGAGGATTTTTTTTTTGGGGGAGGGAGAGGGGTGTGATTGTATGGTTTTCATATGAACGGTGAAAGGTTCTGTCAGCCACATATAAAAAATAGAGGCACTGTAGAAAATTGAGTGTTTTCTGTTTTGTATTTTTTTCATTCACTGCTATTCCCTTCTTTAGAACCTCACCACGCAAGCTACATTCACCAGATAGGGGTTAATCATTCAAATTCAAGTGGTAGAATGTAGAAAAAATGCATGTAGCCTGATATTCCATTTGATATTCCATTTGGATAAGCTTTGTTGTCGTGCAGCTCTAAAAGGAACTTGTTGTTCTGCTTAATGTTAAACTTTTATGCTTCATATTCTGTTGAATATACTAGGGGCAATTATTAAGTGCAATATCTCATGTTATTAACATGAATACAGCTTTCAAATCCCCACGACCTCCTCGAGATTTCTAGTCAGTTTGTACTTCATTGATATTTTAGTGTGGATGAAAGGCAAAAAGGATTTAAAAAGTATGCATTTTCAAGCGAAAACGCAATATTTGGCGAGTCTCACACTATTTCCCTTCCGGAGATGACTCGATTCGCATTATCGTGAGTACAATTCAAGAACAAATTTTGTCAAGGATGGAGACACACCTCCAAGTGCTTCTTTATTTCAACAGTTACAAACATTACTTAATCGCAAGGAGACTAAATTGATAAGCATAATGCTTTTAGAATATATGGTGGCACTATGCAGTTAACCCTTTAACTCCTTCAAGTGATCAACTGATAACTTCTCCCAAAAATATCCACCCACTGATTAGTAAACATGTAATGAGAATACTCAAACTAGTCAGGTAGTTGTCGTTACTTTGATCTAACAACAAATTCTCGTTACTAACAACCAAGGATATGTGTAACTACAAGAGGGGAGTATTGACAATCAGAGCTTGAGAATTAAATGATCAAGTACAGTCTTTTTGGATAAGATTTCAAAGCGCAAGGAGTAACTGAGACCTTAAAAATGAACAAAATATAACACGTGGAACGAACTAAGAAAACAAGAAATATCATGATAATTTCTAAAAACAACTGCAGGATGGCACTTAAACACCTTAACTTCTGATATTTATTCATTGATTTTTGACAAATAGATCTTGGGAGTTAACGGGTTAACATTTTATCCACAGACTGTGTGGTAGTTGACAACTTTGAATGGAATCAAATTTTTATGAGAGGGCTAGACACGAACACTTACATTACAGGAAATAGATGGCAGACCATGACAATAGGTGACCAGTTATAATTTTATCGCCAAGAGAGGAGGGGCTCAGAGGATTTTTTTTTCGGGAGGTGGGGGGTGATTGTATGGTTTTCAGGTGAACAGTGAAAGGTTCTGTCAGCCACATATAAACTATAGAGGCACTGTAGAAAATTGAGTGTTTTCTGTTTTGTATTTTTTTCATTCACTTCTATTCCCTTCTTTAGAACCTCACCACGCAAGCTACATTCACCAGATAGGGGTTAATCATTCAAATTCAAGTGGTAGAATGTAGGAAAAATGCATGTAGCCTGATATTCCATTTGATATTCCATTTGGATAAGCTTTGTTGTCGTGCAGCTCTAAAAGGAACTTGTTGTTCTGCTTAATGTCAAACTTTTATGCTTCATATTCTTTTGTGTAAACTTGGGGCAAATATTAAGTGCAATATATATTGTTAATAACACGAATACGGCTTCCAAACCCTCATGACTTCCTCGAGATTTCTAGTCAGTTTGTACTTCATCAGTATTTTAGTGTGGATGAAAGGCAAAAACAATTCTAAAAAAAGTACGCATTTTCAAGCAAAAACACAATAGGTGGCGAGTCTCACAAAATTTCCCTTCAGGAGATGACTCGATACGCATTATCGTGAGTACAATTCAAGAACAAATTTTGTCAAGGATGAAAACACACCTCCAAGTGCTTCTTTATTTCAACAGTTACAAACATTACTTAATTGTTCTCAGTTCAATCTAATGCAGCAGCTCCTGAGATGATCTCAATCAATTCTCTTGTAATCACAGCTTGGCGAGTTCGATTGTATGTCAAAGTCAACTTGTCAATCATTTCACCTTTAAGAGAGATCGAGACAGTTAGTAAACTTTGATGAGGGTGAAATTCTTTTGTAGATCTTTTGGGGCTGAAATACTCATTCTCTGAACAAATCACATGAACAACAGTTATGAATATTGGAAGATAAAATGATCACTGAATAAGCCCTGTATAGCTAACGCTTCAAGAGATGTGGGGAATTTTTAAAAAAAACCGTCACTCGGTTGCAATTTTACCATCCAGTATCTTGGATGGCTAGGATTACAAATCATTTGGAAAAAGCCACATCTGATTGATAACACGTTATCCAGCACTTTAGAGCAATTTACAATTGAGTGTTGAAAATTTACTCACCCGCATTTTTACTAGCACTATCCATTGCAGTCATGCGAGAGCTCTGCTCACTGCAGGCTCCCTCCTTCATGCCATAAAACAAAAGACTAGCCAAAGAGAACTCAGAGTAGTTCTTTATCGCGTCAGAATCCAAGTCATCATAGGTACTCAGAGTGTCTAAGAATCCAAAATCCACAAGAAAAGTTAGATTTTAACCCTTTGCACCCTAACATCAGTAGCCATATTCTTCTTACTGTTCTCCATACATTTTTTAAGGTGCTGTTAAGGAGAAATTGTTAAACAATCAAGAGCTTCTTTAGCTAGTGATCATTTCCTTTGTTCTCCTGACCTCAAGTGATTCAGGGGTAAAAATGGAAGGAGAAATTAGACACTAGTCACTCCTACGGGTCAAAGAGTTACTTGCCCCAGAGATACAAGTAAAGCTACCAAAATGTAAAACTGAGAAAAATGACAGTTGTTTGAGAAAATTCTTCACATGATAAACAAATAACTACCACAATTTTCCTCACAGCTACAGTGCACATTTCTATTGAAAAAACTGCACCAAAAGAAGCTTAAGAAAATTTTGGGCTTGGATAAGGGTCACACTTGTGCCTGCCATATATTGGTTGGGTGCTAATGCTGATTGAATGACAAAGCCAGTTGTTGGAAGTAGGGAAAATTTCAGTCGACAGATTATAGAGCAAAGCATGTTCTTCACTTTTAGCCCATGCTATCTCAAAAAATAAAGAGATAAAAGAAATTATGGCCACAGTCTCATAATCTGCTTGCTTTGGTCTCTTGTATTCACCTTTCATTCCCAAGATATCATCACAAATTCTGCACACTGTCTGCCATACAGTTCTAACGATGTTAGTTTAGAGAATTTGGTATTGGATCAACTAGCAGTGCCCTTGTTGATATTTTTCTTATTCTGATCACTTATCTGCTTGATACTGTATGGATATTGTAAGGAGAAATTCTGTCTTGGTCACCCACAGGAGGTATAGTGTTAAGGTAAGTCACACTTTGATCAATCAGAATGCATGATTGTTTGCATTATAATCACTCACACAATTGAAATAAATGCTTATACTTGATTATGATTAAACAAATTCATGTAATTCTCCTTACCTCCTGAGACAGAATTCAAAGTATCAAACGAGTGAAGTGGTTTTGTCTGAGTCTTGTATGAAACCACTGACCTGATGAAAAAAAACTCACTTTGTTTGTCTTTCACTCACAAATACTGAACTGAAAAATTTCTCATATTTGTCTTGTACCATTAAGAATATACATGCAGGGCTAAAGGTAAGAGATTAGGCTACCAGCTGAAATTCAAAGTAAGGCTGCTCAAAGATGGTGCCTCACAGAAGGTGCTTTGCATGTTTTTGTGAAGGGATCACCAGCTGAAAAATCCAGCTGATGATTACCACATTTTCATACAGTAAATTTTTTTGGCACCACACAACAATCCTGAATATGTACAACTTACTTAAACCAGTTATAATACATCTCCCCCATATCATACTGGAATCCACTATCAAGGATTTCCTGGGCAATGAAGGTGGCTTCACAGAACTGAGGAGGCCTTTTACCAATCTCTGAAAAGCTCATCAGCAAGTAGTCACCTAACAAACAATAATAAATATATTTAAAAAAAAGCTAAAAAGAAATCTTTAGGAGGCGGTTTATTATGAACAAAACCAATAAGAAACAACTTCCCCAGTCCTTAATATATAAGGTACAATATTAGTTTGGAGAATTTGGTATCAGATCAATTGATATTTTTCCTTATTCTCATGACTTGTCTGCATTATAGTGTATAGATATAGAAAGGAGAAAGTCTGTCTTGGTCACTCACAGGAGTTAAAGGGTTAATTACCTCTTTTTAGTTTGCTATAAAGACTTCACTTATGAAAATTGCCACAGATAGTGCTAATTTAACCCTTACACTCCCAAGATCTGATTAGTAATTCTCCTTACTATCTGCCATACAATTCTTGTGATGTTAGTTCAGAGAATTTGGTATTGGATCAACTAATAATCCCATGATTGATATTCTTCTCTATTCTCATCACCTGCCTGCTTGATATTGTATTGATATTGTAAGGAGAAATTCTGTCTTGGTCACTTGTGGGAGTGAAAGGGTTAAGCAAGTTTGTGGCATGTTCACCAGATGCTCTCAGAGATAAATCACAGCCCTGATTTGTTGTGGAAATTTTCAGAAAAAAAGGTACAGCTTATACACTGTTTCCTGCTCTGGATTAATCAATAAATTCCTTGAAATTCTATCCACTTACCATGTGTTCGTAGAAACAACTGCCTTGCTTTCTCTCCACATGCCACAATTTTTGTACTGTCATCAACCTGCTTTTCTCCCAAAGCAGCCTTAACAGCCTTCACCAAGTTAGAATGGATCCCACCACACAATCCACGATCAGATGACATCACAACTATGAGGTTTTTGGGTGTTGTCTTGTCCACATCACTTGGTTTGATTTCAACTTTATCATACAAAGCTGAGGAAAAACATGTAAGCCGTGATCAGATCAACAAAAGCATTTGTTAACATGTTCATGTACAAAAATTCACACTGTTTCTCTATCCTCTGTTCTCATTTTCAAGAACAAGATTGTGAGTGGAAGTGAATTCAGTTAAATTTACATACCTGAAGCACCAGCTCCATAAATTCTTGCGGGACGTAATTCCCTCTCTGCTTTACCAAACTTGGCAGCTGATACCATTTTCATGGATTTTGTAATCTTCTGGATATTTTTCACACTCCTTAATCGCAAGGAGACTAAATTGAAAAGCATAATATTTTTAGAGTATGCGGTGACACTATGCAGTTAACCCTTTAACTCTTTTGAGTGATCAACAGGTAACTTCTCCCAAAAATATCCTCCCATTAACTAGTAAAGATGTGATGAGAATACTCAAACTAATCAGGTAATTGTTATTTTGATCTAATAACAAATTCTTGTTACTATTATCCAAGGAAATGTGTAACAGCTAGAAGGGAGTATTGACAATCAGATCTTGAGAATTAAATAGTCATTTACAGTATTATTAGATAAGATTTCAAAGTGCAACAAGCAACTGAGACCTTAAAAATGAACAAAAATAACACATGGAAAGAACTAAGAAAACTAGACATGTCATAATTTCTAAAAAAACTGTGGCATGGCACTCCACCTTAACTTCTGATATTTATACATTGATGTTTGACAAATTTCACATCTCTCCGGACAAGGAGGCGTAATATTCCTACGGTGCAACACAAATTGCTTGTTTGTGATTACTCCCTTAGAAACATCTGTGAAAGAGATTTCATTACGGGAAAAATCTTTTTTTCTTCTTGAGAACTTAAGGCTCCTTATCCCTTTATTGCCGTAACAATCAACTTCAGCAAGAACACAGTTATTCTCGACATCGAATCGCTCGATCAACACAAACTTTGTGAATTAGTTTGATATTTTAACTTACTATCTTTCAATGTTGCCATGTTCCTTACGGCTGGACTGCAAAAAAAGAACAGAAAAATACAGCACTCAGAAAAATCTGGAAATTGCTTTATCTGTTACCCGTAAAAGTTCAGTTTCTCACCATGATGCTGGCCTAAAACAGCTCCTCGAATGAAGACCGTGTTAGCCGCCATCTTGGATGTCTGTGCGTCCCTCACTCGGTCACGTGGGTTTATTGGACCGCTGACTAACCAATCGCTTTACAACACAGAATATCATTGGTCAAAAATTAGAATTTGATGACTTGACCAATTAGAACTTAGTTAAGAAAATCAAAGTTTCTTATTGCAGGCTCAATTAAATTGAACACGTTTTGTATTTTCGAAAATCACAAGGAATAGGGGTGAAAATGTCTGGTCGGGAAGGTAATTTTTAGATTAAGTTCCGACTTCTTTTGCTGGTATGTTGTTAATTGATTCTATTATGAAGCCTACTGATCTACAATTTTTCGCAGGAGGAAAGAAAAAAACCACTCAAACAGCCCAAGAAAGAAAAGAAGGAACTGGATGAGGTACAATTTTGCATGTTAGGAATCGAACGACAAATTCGTTAAAATACTTAGGCGTGCAGCTGTTATAATTCAATTTTATCCCTGATTTGAGTTGTATCTGTCTTGAATTTTTGTTACTTATCATAAGATACGCTGCCTTTCCATGGTGAGGATAAATGTTAGACAGCTCTAGGGCTACACACGATCATTCTTTGACTCGCGCTTTTCTAAGTTAAAGAGGTATTTAATGAAAGGCTGTTAGAGGGCAGATTGATTTCTTCATAGTCTATGGTGCACAAGCAAAAATTTGTTTTTAAGACTATATATATTTTTCAGAAATACAATAGACTTCGTTTTCCTCTCGATCAAAGCTTCTAGAATGTTTCATGCAGAAGGGCTGTGGGGGAGGTGGTAGTGGGATGAAACTCATTGGGGGAAGGGGTTGTATGAAGGTCTGTTGTAGAGCCTAAGGAGGTATACTGTTAAGAGGTAGTCGTGGTGTGGAATAGATTTTCAGACTAACCCCTTAACTCCCATCAGTGACCTAGAAATAATTTCTCCTTACAATTTCAATACAACATCAAACAGACAAGTTAGGAGAAACATCAACAAGGGATGATCAGTTGATCCAATACAAAGTTTTCAGAACTAACTTCATAAGAATTGTGTGGCAGACAGTGAGGAGAATTACTAATAAGATCTTGGGAATGTTAATCATTTTAATAGATTATTAAACCTATCCCAGAGAAGCAAGTAATAGAATTTGAACTTGGTGGGGACACCTTAGGTTTCTGATCATGCTGTATACAAGGGTAATAGTGTATTTGAAAAATAACGTACTTCTGATTGGCTGAAAACAAGTGCATTCTCAAGTTATAGGAGTGCAAAGTTGTAACACGAGGGCAAATTACAAAAAGTGCATGCATGCTTTCAAAATTTTTTCTGTTTCAACTTTCTGTAATTTTTTTTCATGTACATGATTAACAAGTAATAAAATGATTTCTCTTGCAGTTTGGTGTAATAAGCACTTGTAAATCTTTCAACAACTACAAATTGCACTTGCCCTATGGGCCTCTACAAAAAAATTCACAAGAGCTTATTTGCACAAAATTGTACTCAAAATCATGTTGTTACCTATAGTAATTTTTTTAGCAATTTTTTAGGATGAGGTGGCACACCAGCAGAAGATGAAGGCTGATAAAAAGGCACTGGAACAAGCAAAGGCTAAAGCAGCTCAGAAAGGACCAATGGGTATGAACAATGCTTAACTCTTGAAACTATAAGAGTGACTAGTGTCTAGTTTCTTCTTACAACAATTCTGCTAAACCAACATGATTGAGAATATAAGAAAATGTTCGCAACCTAAGAAGCTTTGATTGTGAGACAAATTCTCCTAGTCAGTACTAAAGGGAATGTATAGAGAGGAGTATGGAGAAAGTGGATACTGATGTTTGAGTGCCAAGGCCTGGGTTAATAAATCCTAAGAGTAATTATCATCTAATTCCTTCCTACAGTAATACTGCCACATATAAATCCTACAGTACAGTCATGTGAATAAAAGAAAATTATTGCCAACCTAAGAAGCTTTGATTGTTAGATAAATTCTCCTTGTCAGTACCAAAGGGATGTACAGAGAGAAGTATTGAGAAAATCGATACTGATAATAGGATGTTAAGGCTGGGGTTAATAAATCCTAAGAGTGACTATCATCTAACTTCTCGTTACAGTAATACAGCTGAATCATTCTTTAAGACCATGGAAATAACGGACTGATGGCTTCCCTAAGAATCTTTCATTATGAAATGAATTCTCTTTGACAGCTAGTGAAATAAATCAAAATACAGATTTGTAACAAAATTTACTTAAGTTTGTTCTTGCAAAAAATCATCACTTTACATAATACCTTTCTGAAAAAGTTTTGCTTCACAGAGGAAAATGATAACCCTTTGCAATTAAATATTAGTATGCATTTTCTCCACACTGTTGTCAGACATTTCTGAAGGTTCTGTTAAGGAGATTTTGTAGCACAATCAAGAGCCTCTTGAGTTGCAGATCATTTCCTATATTCCCATGACTTTAATGTTTGACACAGGAGAGATACTTTAAGGAGAAATTGGACTTTAGTCACTTAAAGGGCTTAAATAATTAATAGTTTATTGTGTTTGATACAATCTTTCTTATTTTTCCAGGTGGAAGTGGTATAAAAAAATCCGGAAAGAAATGACATTGGATTATTTATCCTGCACAAAGTCCAAAACAAGGATCTCCCAATTTTGCAAAGGCCTTGTACAGAACTTGTATATCCTGTAATAGTTTAGGCAATGGCAATCATTTAGTTAGTAACCAAGTTATAGATAAACACGATTTTCATTTCTAAAATGTTTTTTCTTTAATCCTTTATGATAAATACAATGATTATTATTATTATATTTTTATTATTACAATTGTTATTATCTTTTTTATTGATATTATTATTTTGCTGTTTTAAATACTTGAGTGGAGAATTTTTTCCCCTTTTCCCCACAACTTTTGACCTCTAAGATCAAATTATCAATTCTCTGTACTTCCTGCCATATATTTCACACATTTTAGCTCTGGGATTTTGGAGCTAAATCAAACAAATCCCTCAGTTTTCTTTCTCTCTTTTAACATCACTCTTCTGCTTTCAAGTATATTTATTTTGAATGGGGTGGTTCCTTTTTCCTCACTCCTGGAAGTGAAAGGGTGTAGAATTTATCGTAAATTTTATTCTTTCTGTTACCTGTGAGACATTTAAAAACTCTTAGGAGATAAGATAGAAAAAGAAAGAAAGAAAGAAAAGCAATGCCTCAACTGAGACCTTGTATCCTTTGCATGAAAATAATTATGAAAAAATTGCATTGTGTCGGAAATGAGACTAAAGAATCTGCTATGTTCCGAAACTTCACGTTTTATTTTATAAAATCAACTTAATCTCCCGCTCTCTCTCACCGTTCTCTGTCCTTCGCTCTGGTCTCTCTCATTTTAAATATATAATATGATCCTATTGTTCAATCATCTGTCACTTATCGCAAAAAATCAACCGGAAATCAATTAACGCTGAATAATCTCTCACACACTCCCCTGTTTTTCTCAACGGAGAAAAACACTAGAATGGCGCACTCGATGAAATTTTGAAATTCAATGAACGAAACAGAAAGTTAGTCCAGTATATCAGTTCAGTGTTCCTAAATATCTCTAATCGGCGTCAATGTTCGCATCTTGAATGCGATAACGAGCGGCTACCGCTGCATCCCTCCTGGGCCTGAATGTCGGGGCTAAGGGGTTGAGCTGCAGAGGAGCTTGTACATTCTCCCGATCGCAGGACAGCTCCAGTGGGTAAAGGTGTTGTACCGCCCGTTCAAGTGTTCCTTTCCCCGCTCGAAGTTTGGCAGCTCGAACGATTCCGTCTCGTCCCGAAATCAGATCTTCCACGATTCCAATTTTCCATTTATTGCGATTTCGTTCCTCGTCCTTGATGATGACTACCTCTCCTTTGGCCAAGGGCGTGGTTTGACCCTTGTGTTTCATCCGGTGTCGTTCTCTCAACCCTCGTAAATATTCGGTAGTCCACCTGGTCCACAAAGCCTGCTTGCACCTTCGCAAATATTTAGCTCTTCTACGCAGATCAAATTCTCTTAGATGGTGTGGTTCCAGTTCTGGTAGCTGGTTTGATCGAAGAAATAGCAGTGAGTTAGGGGTAAGCACGGGTAACTGTATGTCGTCTTCGACGTAACATAAAGGGCGATTATTCAAAGCAATCTCCACATCCAGTACCACTTCACACAGCTCTGTCCAGGTCAACATTCCGCATCCGATAGTCTTGTTTAAAGCTGTTTTTACCAGTGCGATGAGGCGCTCGAACTGTCCTCCCCACCAAGCGGCGCGGCTGAGGTTGAATTGCCACTTGATGTTCTCATGTGCTAAGTAATCTTGTGTCTTCTCGTCACGCATAACTTGTTTGAGCCACTTCTCGGCGCCAACAAAGGTTTTGCCATTGTCGGAATATATCTTCTTCGGACGCCCACGGCGCGCGATGAGCCGTTTTAGACTTCTTAGGAATTCACTGGTTGCCAGGTTTGGTAGTACTTCCAGGAATAATCCTCGGGTAAGACTGCACGCGTACAATGCAAGATAGGCCTTTCCTTCTGTTTTGGCTCTGATACGGTACTTGATGGGCCCTGCAAAATCGACTCCGATAACCTCAAATGGGGTGCTCCCCTCTGTGCGGTCAGTGGGTAGGAGTCCGGGAGGCGGCGTTGCTAGTGCCATGGCCTGAAAACGCTTGCAGCCTGAACACGCTCTGAGAACTTGTTTTACGAGTGCCCTTAAACGCGGTACCCAGTATAGCTCTCGCACTTTGGTCATGGTAAGGGCCACTCCTCCGTGCAGTGTGTCGACATGTGATCGGTGAACTAACTTGCGAGTGAAGGGCGAGGAGTCTGGCAGAAAGATGGGGTAATGGCCTTGAATTCTTCCCCTACACTCTAATATTCCCTCTTGGTTTCCTTGCACATTCAACTGTAAACGGTCTTCTTCAAATTTCTGGCTCGACTTTGCTTGTTGTTGAGATCGCTTGATCCAGAAAGTTGTCTGTTTCTGTATTTCTTCAGTGGTAAGGGGACCAACGATTCTCTGTTTACGGACGGTTCTTATGTTGTGGAGGAATCTCCAGATCCAAGCACCCACTCGCAACACACGCCACAGCTCGTACTTCTCCAGCAGCGCATCGAAGGCGTCGTTGTTCTCTGTTTTCTCTACTGCTAGAGCAAACAACTCGCGAGTTTGTTTCGCTTCTTCCGCTTTTGATTCTTGAGTAGATGTCGTTACAAGGTCTGGCGGCCAGTCCTGTGGTTTTGCTAACCAGCTTGGTCCCTGCCACCAAAGAGCTGTCAATCTACTAACATCTCCTCCCGACTCCCCACGTCCGCAGGATTCTCTTCTGTTGGTACATGCCTCCAGTTTATTTCTTTTTCTTGGATCTTCCTCACTCGATTTCCCACGAACTGTTTGTATTCGCCATTACCATGGATCCAATGCAGTGCGACTGTGCTATCCAGCCAACCATAGACACTTCTTACGGGAAAACCCTTCAGGACTTCTTTCACATTTTGTACTAGGTTCGCAGCCATATGTCCAGCCACTAGTTCTAATCGGGGAATCGTGAGTCCTTTCTTCGCGAGCCGCGACTTTGCCGTCACGAGGCCTCGATTCGTGCCTGATGGTTGCTCCACCACTGCATAAACCGCGGCTGCAACTCCTTTCCCGCTTGCGTCCCCGAATGTGTGTAAGTCGATTGATAATATCTTCCCTAAATGCTTGACGACATTTCTTGGCGCGTTCACGTGCTCTGGAATTCCTTGCTCCCATTTCTTCCATTTGGCTTGTAAGTCACTTGGTAAGGGCCTATCCCACGCGATCTTCGTGTCGCAGGCATCTCTGTAGAGCATTTTTCCAGAGAGGGTCACGGGTGAAGCCAGACCGAGTGGATCGTAGATTTTTGCGACTTTTCCAAGGATACCTCTTTTTGTCGGCTCAGCGGTTGAAATCGGGAAGCTGATTTGAATTTCGTCCTTTTCTTTGTCCCAGGGGACTCCTAGCAGTTTTGATTCGCCCTTCCCGGTTCCCAGTTGTTGTTTGGCGTAACTCTGGCTTTCTTCATCTACAGTCGCAGTTTCAACTTCTAGTTCCCGATCGTTGGAATGCCACTTGTGCAGCTTGAAAGTCGCCTCACCAAAGATGGTCGTGGCTGTCATCTTGATTTCTAACGCTTGTTCTGTTGTCTCTAACTTCCGCACGAGATTTTTGAGACGTTTTAAACTTCCAGTGTGATTGTTCGGTAGGGGGGGGTGATTTCCTTTCCAGGGCAAGTTCGTCTCGTACCAGCCTTCTGAACTCCTAGTTAGTTGCTCTTTGAATTCTTCGTAAACGGTTTCCTGGTCTCCACTTGGATTGTCCTTCAACCCCAAGACGTCTAACTTGCACAATTCTTCGTAATCAATTGCGGAGGTCTGCGTTAACAACATGTTGCTGAGATCCAACTCTGTTCCAGGTGACAAGATCGTCCAGCCGAACTTCGTGTATTCTGCTACTGGTTCTCCCTGAGCGCCCAACTCTTGGTCTTGCCCCTGTTTTGATCTTAGCGTACTCGTTTGTTCCAAGGATCAGATGAACAGGCAACATCGCTTTCTCGTCGTTATCATTTGTGGTTACGCCCTTCAAGTGAGAAAACTGAGCTACGATTTCTGCGCATTTTGGGTTTTCCAATGTCAACAACTCATTGCGGTCGACTTTGTTTACTTCGGCTTCTAAGGTGAATTTACCATCAACGCTTCGAATTTGTAGGCCATAGATGTCTATCGCTTTGTTTGAAGTACCAAACATCATTTCAATGCGCTTGAATTGTTGACGGATAGGGCGCAAATGTAAACAGTTCAGAAGCGTTGATGAAGCGTAGGAACTTCCGGCTCCTGTATCCAACAATGCTCGGCATTTAACACCGTTCACGTCAACTGTTACCATAGGATACACCACTCCTTTCCTTTCTGCGCTCGTTGTGGTCATCAGCTGGTCTCGCGATGTATGTTTGTCACAGATCGACGTATGATGTCTTCGACTGCAGATCTGGCAGCGAGAACGGCATTTGCACTCTGAAGCACGGTGTCGACTTCCGGTGCAGTTAAAACAAAGCTGTTTCAGTCCTAATTGCTTCCTGCGGTCTCCAACTGTCACAAACTTGTCGCAATTCACAGCTCTGTGGTCAGTTGCGTCACAGTAGACGCACCCTCTTTGTGTTGGCGTAGTTTCGTTTGCGTGAAATGTTTTCTCGCGATCGCGGAATTTAGCACCTTGCTTCCCCGCATTATCCGCGCCGCTCCCAATGGGGTTGATTTCCTTCCAACTTTTCAAAGCTTTTATCAACTGTGGGAAGTCCCAGTCCTGCCAGTCCACTTGTCCTCTCACTAGGTCTGCTTTTACACCCTTTAGTTTGTCGAGCACACTCCTTACATTTCCAGTGACGTCTTTCAATTTGCCTAGTGTCTCCAAAGATTGCACATTGTACACGAGCTTCTTGTAAAATTCGTGGATAGGCGCAGGTTGTGTTCCTGTAATGACAGGCAAATTCGCGATGTTCTGGACGTACGCATTCACGATCTCGCTCGTTTTCCCATATTCGCCGATGAGGATATTCTTTGCTCTTTCGTAGCCCTCTGTTGTTAAAGGCAGTCCGTCTATCTCCGCTCGAACCTTTGGATCTACCAGCTCTTTTAGGTATGCAAACTTGGTCACAGATGCAAGGTTTGCTTTATCAATTTCAGCTTGAAATTTGTTCCAGAACGGCAGCCATGCTTCATACGTCCCATTAAACTTTGTGATCTGTAGTTTCGGTAGCTTTGTTGTCCTTTTTGTTCAATCTGATTGGCCTTCTCAACAGGTTGCTGTTTTGCCTTGGTCTCTTCCAGTTGGCGTTCGAATTCTAGCTTCATCTCCATTTGCTCTCTTTCGAATTTAAGCTCCTCTTCACGAGCACGGGCTTTCCTTTCCTCTTCGTCCTTGTGCTTTCGATGTTCGATCTCTCCATTCGTCTCCACGAGCCATTTTTCTAGTCGCGAAACTTCTTCGTCAGCTTCGGCGATCGGTTCTTCAATGCTGCTGCTCCAACTTCCAACGTCTTCTGCACTTTTCCCGGCCTTGAACATGGTCTGTTCAACCTTTAGTTTAAGCGCGTCTACTTCTTTTACTAATGCTTGTAGGTTGTCGCGATGTCGCGCGACCGCTCCTAGGTTTCCCTTTTCCACAATGCCACGTGTTTTTCCATTAGTGTACAGCAACATCTGCAATTTAGCCTCTGCTTCTTTGGTTAGTTCCTCCATGCTTCGCGCGTCCCGTCGGAGGTGCCACTGTGTCGGAAATGAGACTAAAGAATCTGCTATGTTCCGAAACTTCACGTTTTATTTTATAAAATCAACTTAATCTCCCGCTCTCTCTCACCGTTCTCTGTCATTCGCTCTGGTCTCTCTCATTTTAAATATATAATATGATCCTATTGTTCAATCATCTGTCACTTATCGCAAAAAATCAACCGGAAATCAATTAACGCTGAATAATCTCTCACAATTGTGCTAATCATTGGCTATTAGGCTGCTAAAATCCTACCCCTAAAAAGTTGCTTCACAAAAGATTTTAATTATATCAAAGTGTCTAAAACTCAATGCACAATGCTCAAAAATGCCCAAAAATGTCAATGTTAGGAAATTTATGAACACTTACTTGCTTTAAAAAAAAAAGAACATTTTTCCTACCTAAGTGTGAAAAAAAACTTTAGGTATTACTTAGCGAAAAAGGCAAGACATGCAAAAACACCACTCAACTGTGGCAACTAGGCCGCCCTTGCCTGGCTAACACGTGTTGAAATCACTGCTTAAAGTAAAACATGACACCATTACCCATCTTGTTATCGTTTGATAAGGCATTGATATAACAGGCATAAAGTTTTTTTTTTAAGTTACGGGAAAAAAATAGAATATCTGTCTACCGGGCTTCTTCAGGCATATCAATCGTCAAATGCTTCTCCCTAAAGTCTTAGTAGTCTTTGCAAGTGTTCTTTAGGCGTTGCGTGACATCTCCAAGAACAGCAGTGAAAAGAGTTACCATTTCGATCGAGGACTGCGAAGTTTCAAGGTTTTATTCGAGCCTCTTAAACGGTTCTTGCAACAGCAAGAATGGAGAGACGAAACGAGTGAAGCGATGGTTAAATGATATTACATAGTATCGTCAATCCCTGCTTGGAACGAATGCGCGCGCATCACTTTCGTGAGAATCACTACTTGTGCCACCCTGAGCCGACACCCTGCTGCTTGTTTTGTTTATGCACAAAGGACCCGAGTTGGTTATAGTGAAATCGAGCAACCGAAGATGATCTTTTTGATTCCATTTGCTGCAACGTTTGTCCTGGGTAGGTAAAATTCCCTGACCCATAAGCTTACTATAACAAACTAATTAAAGTAATTCTAAATTGATCGCTAGGAGGTTTAGGGCGAGTCGCTTCAACCTTTGCTTGAGATCTAGTGAAATTGAATATGCATGGCCGTGTTATGTACGATTCGAGGATTAAATTTCGACCGAGTACAGAACTTTTCCCAATAAACCAGTGTGAAATTCGTGTAAAACTGATTTTAGTGCGTATGTCTCCGTTAGTTCTTCGAAGCTGTGTAAACCTTTGGCACTCTCAGCCAATTTCGGAGAGCCCGAAAAACAAAACCACACCGACAAAATTAAGAGCGCTAGCGTTGTCTGTGATATTAGCTCTGTACTTTTCTTTCTCTGTTTTTCAAGGAATGGTTCTCGTCGAATAAAGGAAGTTGTCTGTGATATTTCTTCTGTAGCTTCCTTCCTTTTTGTTTTTCAAAGAATGTTTCTCATCAAAGGAATTTTCATTACCTAAACGAACTTTCATGGATAAGAAAGAGTCAGAAAGAGATGATTTGCATAATTTCCATCACGTTGATTTAATTTTTACTCGAACGTACGCCCATCGGAAAATAAGCTGAAATATCTCTTCTTTCAATTAAGATGATGATTTATCCGTGTTTCGTTAACATCTACAACTTTTGTTTTTTCGTTTCAGTTGAAATTAAATCTCATTCATACGCGTTCTGGCTTAAAATCAAGGCTGTGACTGAATGCCTGGCAGCGGGGCACGGTCTCAAATTAAATAGACGAAATTTCCCGTAGTCAAAAATTTTCACGCAACTTCCACCGAAAGGTTCTTTCAAACTTCTTAAGAGTATCAGATGTTTGTTGAGAAATGTCAAGGGATTCAAAAAATTAGTTTGGTTTTTCAGTGAACAACTTCTCCGAGCTTGTAGACACTACAATATCGCGCGACAACCGAGCGATATTGTAGTGTGCACAAGCCTAGAGAGTTTGTCCACTAAAAAACCAATTTAACGTTTGGAATCACTTGACATTCGTTAACAAACACTTCATATTCTCAAGAAGTTTGAAAGAACCTTCCAACGGAAATTGCGTGAAAATTTTTGACTGTCGGGTATTTGGTCAATTTGAGACCTTGCCCAGCTGCTGGGCATTTCGTCACTGCGTAAAAGCAAACCTGTACATTTTGCTTTGATATTTGAATTCAGTAATTACTAAAATCGCGAAATACATTGTGTTTAGAATGTTGGAATCATTATAGTCTTACTCTCTCTGTTTACTCGAAATTTCTCTTTACGTGCAGGCATAAATTTGACATGGCACGGATACGCATCCAAATTTGTAACCCGCAGCGTGACGATCTGCGTGACGATCTGCATCACGCAATATTTGGATAGAGGATATAAAGAAATTTGTAGCGTTATTATGTCCATTCGAGCACAGTTGATAAAAGCATTAGGATACATTAGATACTAAGAGCGATTTTTTGGGTTTCCCACGATATAGTTTTAGAGAGGATATAAAAAAATTGTAGCGTTATTATGTCCACTCGAGCTCAGTTGATAAAAGCATTAGGATACATTAGATACTAAGAGCGATTTTTTGGGTTTCCCACGATATAGTTTTTGTCCATTTAAATGTTATGTAATTTCATAATCTCGTAACGCTGCTCTTGTGGATTTCAATAGTATTTGTTGTGGGAAATCAGGCAGCGCTTCCGGACGTCGGAAAATGCACATTTATGGAATACTATTGTAAAGCACGTAACTGTGAGACAGACTTCTTTAAAGAGCGGCGAAAGGATCCCAAAGGAAACTGTAGGTAAGTTGTTACTGATTCTTGTGGGCAATAAGGACCACTCCTTTGTGCAACGAAAATTATCCGGAGAAGAAAGAACCTTTTTATTTGTCTGAAATGATTAGTGGGATATATTTTCTTTAAAGTGTCATGTGGTAATTGTTAAAATTTAACGATGTAAAAGGAACTATAAAATTGCTGTTTCTTCAGAAATGTACAAAGTTTTAAAACATACATGTTTCGCCTTTGAGCTTTTTGCCATGAGCGCGACCACGGCTAGGCGGGTTACCCCACCTTGAGACGTTTACATGGCAAATTGTCACCCCGGCTGATAGGGTTACCCCACCTGGCAGACCGGGCAACCCAACTAGCCAGGTCATCCCACCTATCATATAAACGTGATCAAGACGGAAATTAGAAATTATATGGACAGGCGGGTTACCTCACCTACCTGGGGTCCCCCACCTCCATGTAAACAGGCCCTAACTCACGGTTTATTCACTTGATTGAACGATTTTACTACAACGCTTTGGTTAACTCCTACTCACAACTCTCAGCTTATTCGTAGGAAACACACAAAAACGTCCCGTTGTAAGCTCGTGGAACAGTGTCATATATGGGGCGATAAAACACGTGCCGCATACATGTTGGTTTGGTTATGTATGGATTAACGAAATCACTCATAAATGTCAATAAACTTAAGAATAATTAACGTATCATACAGTTTCCAACAAGGGCTGCGCATATTTCACGCTCATCAAAAAGTAGAAATAACGCGTCACGAAAAAATCAGATAAACAACCTGAAGTTTCTTGTATCGCGAAAAGCATAAAAGTGCCAGTTCACTGGGTTTTAATTTCGTATTTTCTCTGGTCATCAAAAATTAAAAAATAATCAATCCTGTATCGCGCAGTAACCCTCTTTCCTCTCCCTATCATTTGATCGATCAATCAACTACATTATTCATTTATAATGATTGGATAGAAGGAAAAAATTAACAACTAACAATTAAATAATATTATACATTTTATACATTTTAGTGTTCATCACGATGAAATGCTCAATTGTGCCGCAAACACTTTGAATTCTTGCTCTGATGCCAACTTGCCATCAAGTCTCCTGAAAGCACAGATTGAACAAAATTTCGGAGTAGATCTCTTGTGCTCTAAAGGCGCTGTAGATACCCCAGCCAACATCTTTGGTAAATTGCTTCCGACTTTGCCATGCTCCGGATCTTTCAACAACGAATCAAGCGCCTGTGTGAAAAACTACCATGAACAATTTATTGCAAATGCATCGGATCCTGCTCTTTGCAAGTAAGTATCAGTTAGTGAGCCATTGTTCCCTCAGAGGGCGAGTCGGGGTGTATTCTCTCATCAAAATAACAGGTATATCCCTGGGATAACTTCATAAACTCCCGTCACCCCCCTTAATCCCCACCTAACGTCATCTCCCCCCCCCCTCAGCCTTTAGAGATGATGATTTCAACAAGGTCTCAATGGCGTTACTCGTTAGCCCTACAGCGGCAAAACATTTTTAGCTATTAGGAGTAAAAATTGACAGTTAAATTTTAACTGTTAGTCGTAAAAAATGTTAACCTTAAAAGTTTTCCTCTACCACAATGTCATTTTTGTCATTTTGGTTTAACCGTAGCCATAAAATGGCCAAAGTTTTAATTTGTAATAATTTTCTCGAATCATGTTTTTCAAATACTTATTTCAGTCCTGGATTAAAAGGTTATTTTTACAAATGCTGTAAAAATTTCTTTCCTATCAACATGCGAGATAAGCAATCTTAGGAGCCTTGCTAGAAATCTCGTAAGTTTTGCAAAAACTCTAGCAGGGGCCATTTTAGGCTCAAACTACCTGAGCGGAAACAACTTTCTCCACACTGGCGTACATAAAGAACATCTAGGCCAAAAAAAAAAAGAACTCGCAATCTACTTCACAGGAGTTGGGATTGAAGACTGGACCCTAGAGAAGGGCCTACATTTGGCCAAACTCACTTGAGCCCATGTAAGATTACCCATTTCGTTGAGGACATTTTTTTTCTGAGTTATTTTTATTTGCATAGGGGACAAGCTGATGCAAAGAAATGTCTGAAGAATCTGATGAAGTCTGACTGTAGCTTTCCCTCTCAGATCCAGGAAATCTTTGATCTGAGTCTTAGTGACCACAATCCTTTCTGCACCAACAAGCGGGATCCTGGCGCGACTGGCAATGAAATATGTGATGACGTGGTAGTAAATACTAGAGATTCATCCGCTGGTCGCATAAGTAGCGCATTGAAGGCACTTGTGCTTTCTTTCTTGTTGGCGTTATTCTTGGCGAACATGTAAAACTGAGAGGCCAGTTCCGAGATTGCTTAATTGCGTTAGCTACAAAGATACTTTTCCACATAATTTTCCTTACGAAATTCTATCAATTTCTTTGCCGAGCTCAAAACTGACCATCTTTCTTATTTCTATCTACAAACATTACGCTATCGACATTTCTGATCCTAGCAGTATGCTGGACGCGTTTCATATGAACTTCGTAAAAGACCTCGCTCACCGTGGAGTCTCAGTGGTTCAGTGGTGGAGTATCAAAGCGCGGAATCCGAAGGTCTGAGGTTTGATTCCTCATGGGGACTCAGAATTTTTTCTTTGTCCCACGCTCGTGACAAAACGAAAACATCTTTCTGTAGTGAATTTTTATGTTTGGAGCTTATCGTATTGGGTTGCAATTACAACATTTAGATAGCATTGTAGTTTCTCGTTATTTAAAAAACTATAGTGCAGGCTTTGGTTCTCGTCAACTCTTCACCTGGTTTTCTTTATGTTCGATAATTTCCTTATTTTTTTCTGTGATTGGTTTTAAGCTAAAACTCGTCTCGCAAAGCATCATTTTACCAACCAGAAAGCGCAACCAAAACCAACCAACTTTGTTTCCAGGGTCCTCTCTCTTCCTCTTCCCTCGTGGGGGAGGAATGAAGAGGACCCTGGGAGCGAAGTGTATTTTTCCCTCGGAAGAGGAAAAGAGAGTTAGATATTTCATGTAAATTCAAAGGAAGTATACTTCATTTTGTTTAATCAGGTAAAGAGTTTTGTTCTTTTGTGTCACTAAACACTGGCCTCTTTGCGTTAGTATAAATGAATATCGGATACTCCAAGCTTCCCGTTTGCAAACTGAACAATACAATGACTATGTGATCCGTATTTTTTCCTTTAAATTTGTTTTTAAGTCATAAGAAGTAAGAGAGAGGCAAAGAGAAAGGAAAGGTTTTTTATTAAGGTAATACTCCCTCTTTTTAGATCGATATTGTGAGTAATGACATGGAATATTAATAATAACAGATTAAGAATATAATAAAGTTTGGAAGAAGCGCATCCTTGTTATTGAGAAGGAATCATTATACAGAATGGGGGACTGATGTTTCATTCCATGTTGTAACAACAAACACAAAGTCGATACTTAAAGAAAGATTTCCAACAGCTCTTAAAATAAATTTGGTTGTTTGCGAGGGAATAACGCACAGGAAACTCCTTGAAATAAGTAATATGTTTTGGATAAGTATACATTTTTTTTACTTTATCCCAAAAAACTAAAAGAATCATTCTTTGAATGTTCGTTTCAAAAAGACAATTAGGCTGAGGCTCAGTTCTTCCTTTCAAACAAAGTTCCTTTCATTTGGATCGGCGTTCTAAATCCACGATGCTTTTTTGCGTTATTTCGCATTTATTGTGGGTAGGTTGAAAGTCAGTAAGCATTTGTAAATTTCAATCATCGGTTTTGCTGAGGTTACCAATTAAACAATCAGTCTTTATTTTGAGGAGATTTGCATTTGCTGTTTGCTGTTTCAAAACATTTCTGTAGGGTTCGAGTTAGAAGCTATTTTTTTCTTTAAGAGCTAACACGTTAAGGTGCTTTTTTCTTTTAGATGGAACAACACCATCTAACACATCTATTGAACCCTTCTGTAAAGAGGCTTTGCGAAACATTTGTTTCAACCAACATCAGAAATGGAGAAAAGGCAGACAAGCAGTAGGTAGCTGAAGAACTCTTTCTTCCATCGGAGCTTTGTACACCATTTTCTCAACTGAAATGATCAAAGAGAAAATCCGTTCGATCCGCGCGCATTTAAAAGCGTCTTTCAGATGTAAAACTCGAGGATAATTTCTCGACTTCTTCACCATTTTCAAAACATTGTTCCGTACATTGTATTAATCATGAATTTCTTGGGGCGAATCTTAAGTTTTTTAATGTTTTCTTGGGCCAAAATTAAACGACGATTCGTTCCTCATTTCGGATTATTTTCCAACCTTGCTGCGAAGAGACTTCCGAGTCTGTTTTAGTCTAATGTCACCAAACGTGCGGGGATTTATTTCATATTCAGCGACTTTCCTTTGCAGAGATTACAGTATAGTGACATTTCATTTTCCGGCATTGACACTAAATTTAGCAATGGTTGCGCAAGACCGATTTTTGTTTCCGAAATTCTGAAAGTATATTCACGTCGGCACTTACATGAAAAATTAATAATTTAAATAACTCTATTTAGCTCGCATTGAATTTTGTTAGGATTGTATTTCTTTCCTAAGAGAATTTTCGATGCTTAATTTATGCAATTTTTTTTTTCAAGTATTTTCATCCAGAGTGTTGAACGCGCCTATATTAACCAATTCGCTCAAAAACTGAGGTTCTGTAGTCTAAAATAATATTTAGTTTGCATTAGGCTAGAGTGAGTGCGTTGGGTTTGATTCTCTTTTCTTTGTGACTGGTCAAGAAAATTCACGCCACCTAAAGAAAATGATATCATTTCTTTGCAAAGAAATATCCTTTTCGTTCTTTTAACGTGTCACATTCATCCGTAAAAGCTATCTTTACTCTCTCCGCCATTTCAGCACGATTATTATTATTCTCTTCGCGAACATCAGATCTAGGTAACCTATTCCGGATTTTTTAAAAAACAAATTTCCGTTTTATGAGAGACTGAAGGATTCAATAAATAACTCACAAGGGAAACTGACATATCCTAGGGGCTGGACCAGGAACTACCTCTCTGTCTTATTAGTTAGTTTAAGAAACGACGTCAGCAACGCCGTGGACAACGTCGGTTAAAAAATGAACACCCACGAATCGCGCGACGCTCAACAGTCATTTAGTTTGTTTCCTACTGTTAAAAGTATCTCGAAACTGAATTTGGAACACAGCATTGAATTATAAATGGAAACTTTTAAAAAATTAGCCGTCGTTGTTCACGTTCTCTAGAAAACCCAAAGTTTGGTCATTTCACGTTGTTGTTTTGCAGAGGGACAAAAAAATTTAAAATGAATTATAATGCACGTGTACAATTTTTCTGCTCACTAAACCGTTTGTTAAGTGACGTTCCCGTTTCCTATTATTTTTTCTTACCTTACCTTATCAACCAATCAGATGCAAAACTAAAGCTAATAGCCATTTATCACCCCGCAAATCAATTTTTTCTTCGTAAACGGAAGAGTTGTTTACTTAAGTAATTATCACACACGGGAAAATCGCATCAATATCAGTATCCGACGCACCTACCCCTTCCCAAATTGAGCTTGACATTAACGCCAACTTGATATCAGTTGACTGTTGTTGGATGTGTAGTCTGCAGTGCAGGCGTCTTATTAGGGCGAGTTAACGTTAAGAAGCTCGCGATCGTTTATTCAACCGGCCATGTTTGATTTGGAGATAGAGGCAGCGGCGAGGGGACGGGACGGGGAAAGGTGAAATATGTAATATTTACCTCCCCCACCCCCACCCCTTCCTTATTATTGACGGTCACTCACCCTCTTGGTAAAAATTTCTTTCTCTCCCCCGCCTTCCGATGCAATTAAAATGAAAGATGGCAGCCATAATTTTCGCTAAGAAAATACTGAACACTCGCTCACCAAAATTGTGCCTGCGTCTGCAGGCCGTTGGGTTTGCGGAGTTGCTTAGATACTGACGTTGATAGTAAAAAAATTCTCGAGTCATGGCGTATTACCATAACTTATGAAGCAGACAAACGATCGAAGCTGTTACCCAGACATTATTCCATCCTTTTAAAACAGGTTATTTCAAGTTATTCTACTTTTTATTCCCTTTCTTGTGCATTTTTTTCTGCTCTTTTGTCACCATAGTTCATGTCATAAATTCATTCATTCGCGCGCTTCCTATCATTTGTCAAAGGCCACAGCCTGGTCGCCTAACAGCTTATTGCTTTAAAATTTCCGATCAGAGGTCATTTTTAGTACTTTGTTGTTGCTGTGATTATTGTCATTTTGATTTCCTCAACTGAGGGGCGCTCTGTTTTTTTTTTAAACTATGAACTACAAGATCCTGTGTTTCTTGGTTCCAGTCACGGTGTTTTTTAACCTCAGCGACGCGGAAACCAGCATGTCTGATTTCGCAAACTGTACACTTACGGAGTACCTTTGTGACGCGCGCAAGTGCACCACACAATTCATCAAAAGCGTTCAAAATGACCCCGAAGGAGACTGTGGGTAAGTATGTTTGATTTAACACCAGTTAGAAACGTTTCTTAAGCCGAGGTCAGATATAGATTGAGAGCTATCTTTAAACGCCCTAAATCAGTTCTTGAAAATTGAATTTAAAAAAACTGGCCTAATGCGAAGGTTCAATAAATTGGTATGCACAAAAGCTGAAGTGACTGTTCTTAATCAGTTTATGCAAAAAAAAAATATTTTAATGGTATGCCTTTTGACAATGGGTAATTTTCATACGTCACCTTGGAAAATACCATAATATTCTTTTATATCCAGATTTGGGTGATTCTTCCAACTTCCTTCGTACCACGAGCAGACGTGCTAAGTGCTGAAAGTTCTCGACACTGTTCTTGCTTTCTACTTTTATAAACAGAACCAGCGATGGAGTGGCGTTAGCTAAAATGTAGTTAAGTCTCTGTAAGGTTTTAGATGCAGAGGTCTGTTTCTCAAGGGCACATAGAGATACGTCAGAGGATTTTGGTTGTCACGATAACATTTTACCTGACTCCCCCATAAGTGTCATAAATATTTTTGTGATTCACCCCTTCCCTCACTGACAGTTAATTGCAGTCAATTATTCTAGGTCCCCACAATACTCTATACTCTGTCGGCGATAACTGATCTCCCTCCGTCCCCCCCTAAAAACCATGTGCCACCTCCCCCCCAAAAAAAAAAAAAAAAAAAAAAAAAAAAAACCTTCACCCACCCTCCTCCTCCTCAGGCGATAAGTAAGTAATTACTGAATTTTGGTTAACCTCTGCGCATGCTCAACTGACTTTTGTTTCCTTCTTACTGTACCTAGAGTCCAGTACAACAAAACCTTCGACTGTGTCATCATGTCAAACAAGCTATGCGGCAGGGTTTTTCCGAGTGACTCATTCAACAGGACGATTGATGATAGTTTACGTGAAGGCATCAAAGAGGAATATATATGTAACGATGCATTTTTGGGTGAATTTCTCGTTCCCATGGAGCTGCGTAGTGACCCATTTTGCTCAGATGTGTTCTTTAACAACACACAAGCATGTTTGAAAACTTTTCATGAAAAATTTATGGCTGACAGATCGGACACCACTCTGTGCGAGTAAGTAGTAATTTTGTAACGAGTAATTGAGTCTCGGTCACTAAAGGGACCGGTCACTTTCACTGCCTTGGAAGTCAAATTTTTTTCTTCATCGCCTTAGCAGTCTATTTTCTAAAATTCTCTCCCCCTTTATACTCTGTCAGCGACAACTCATTCTCCTCCGATCTACCTGAAAAACTTGTGATGTCCCATAAATCCGTCACACCCATCCCTTTCCCCCACGATGAATAATGACCGGTCCCTGAAGAGCGTTCATTGGCTGTTTATCAAAGAAAAAGTGCACCCAGAAAGTTTGACAACGGTCGAATACGGACCTTTTTTTTTTTGCCTAATTTTTTGGTTAGACATTTTCAAAAAGGGAAAGAGGATTGTTTCAAAGCTTGCTGAAAATTTAGGGTCAACTCTAAATCAAAGAGGCGAATGCTCTCATCTCTATGCCAGTTTCAGCATGGTTTTTAGTTAGGGACAGGTGAGGGACGGAGAAGTTTTGGAGATTTTGTTTATGTTACGATAAAATCTACCTTATCACACCTTCCCCCTTCCCATTAGGCTCTGCAGTATCTCTATGCCTCCTCACTCCCCCGTGATTGACAGACAATTTACAGTCCCCTCTCTATACTTTGTTGGTGACCACTGATTCCACCCTCCGTTCCCCCTGATAACTATGTGATTACCCCCCAAAGTCCTCCGACACCCTTCCCACCCTCCCCCGCGATAAATAACGAGAGGTTTCTTATATGTTTTCTTCTCCTAATTTCAACAGGGAACATGCTGAAGCAAAAAAATGTTGGATGGAAACCATTATGTCCGACTGCAACTTTCCTTCTGATTTCTTTGAGGCGATAAAATTTGATTTGGTCGACTACAATCCTTTCTGCGCCAACAATCGGGATCCTGGGGCGACCGGAAATGATCAGTGCCATGGCGTGAGGGACATAAAAAATCCCTTCAATAGAAAGGACGACGTCAGTGCAACCGCTGGTACAAAGATTAATGCATCACTGGCTCTGCTTCTTCCTCTTGTGTCATTTTTGTTCGTACTTAAGGTTTAAGAATAAAAAAAACTCTCATGGGGGATTTCCAGATTTTTATTTCTCATCCGTAACAAGACATAGCGGTCGAACAGCGAAACACTCTCGGGTGATCTCGATCTCAAGTTTCTTACGACTAATTTCTTTTCATGTATCCAGGTATCTCCTGACTTGTTCCTAACCACTGCTGAATCCCTGAAGCTCATTAAGGTCATGAGAATAAAGAAAATAAGACTACGCTAAAAAAACCCTTGAATGTAAAACAAATTCTAGTTGTCAGCACCTGCGAAAATGTTTAGAGAACAGGATTGAGAATATGCATACTGATGTTATATGTCGACTAATTAATTATCCACCTGAAGTGGTGGGGGAGGGAAGGGGGCTCGGAGTATGCTGGTTGTGTCACGATGATATTTTTCTGATTCCCTTCCCCCCCCCCCCAGAAGACTCTGTAGTTACCGTAATGGTCCACTCCCATTGGCAGTTATGATTTTCATTATTCCCATCCCCCTCTTATTGTGGTTTTGTACAAATACCAATTTTAAAAATCTATGTAGTAATTTCCCTTAATATATACAACAGAATATGAAGTATTAAGTTGACATTAAGCAAAACAGCACGTTCCTTAGTTAACTGTAAGACTACTGAGCTTGTTCAAATACAATTTGAGAGGAGTGGGGAGAGGAGCGAGGAGAGGAGCTGCGAGAGGAGCGGGGAGAACAAGCGAAATAGAACCAAAAAAAAAAAAAGCTCAATCTTGCACAGACATGCGCTTACTCGAGCGTGGGCGCTTACTCGAGGAATTTGCGATTTGAGTCAGCGGTCGATCAACCTAATCGCTTCACGCTAAGCTAGTTCGTTTTCGGTCTAGACATATGCAGAAGGAATTCCAATAAATCCTCAACTCCCTGTGCGACTCTAGATCAAAAGGCGCTCAGCGTGTCCAGAATGAGCTACAAGGCGTTGTTTTTCTTGGTTTCAGTTTTCTTCACCGCTAGTTATGCTGAGATCAGCTTGGTTAACTTCACCGACTGCACTCTTACGGAGTACCTCTGCGATACGCGAAAGTGCATGACACAATTTGTCAAAAACGTTCAAAATGACCCCAAAGGAGACTGTGGGTAAGTTTGTTACATCTAAGATATTTTCTGGGTTTTGGTCATTGCTCAGGTGTAAAATCTTGATAATGCGGTTTCAAGTCGTCCAGACTTTAACTGGAGCGTGGAGGTGCTTGCTTGAAAGGACGAAGAAGAATTTCAGCCCAACAATTTCCTGATGGCGCTGAATTTCTGCGATCGCTTTCTTGTAAAAGACTCGTACATTTATGCCCCGACTTTTTGCTTGAGTTTTTAGAATGTTATTGGCCATTATTATAGATAAAGTTGTCCTGTCTGGGAAGCTCAACGTTTTCGATTTGCCTCAAACACGCACGAGAGGTAGCTTCTATTTTTATTTCTTGCATCAGACAGGCAGAATACAACCTTCAGTTTATGTTTTCGTCGAGAGAAGAAAAGCTGAAATTTTTTGAAAATCACCGGAAACGATCAGAGCATAATTGTGTAGATGTTGGTTATCATTTTGTGATTAATTCGCATCTAACGAAGCATTGCGTGACTACAAGAAACTTGTGGTTGGCGGCTTTTAGCAGACAAAGAAAGCAGAATCTTGAAATATTCCTCCCTCAGGGAAAGAAAAGGAATTAAAAACTAGGGCTCGCCTCCTACCCCCACCGACCATTTTAACTCCAAATGGCTAAAGCTCGGGCAATCCTAGGCCTGAGACGAGTGTTTCCATCTTTTCTACTGCAGAGTTCAGTACAACGAAACCCTAGCTTGCATTATTATGTCGAACAAGATTTGTGGCAGAGAGTATCCAAGCGACTTATTCGACATAACGTTGGATGATTCGTTACGTGCGGGCATCAGCGAGGACCAAATGTGTAACGAGGCCTTTTTGGGTGAATTTCTCGTTCCCATGGATCGACGCAGACTGGACTGGCACTGCTCAAGTGTGTTTGTGAACAACACAGAAGCGTGTTTAAAAACTTTCCATGAGAAGTTTATGGCTGACAGATCGGACGCCACTCTTTGCGAGTAAGTTATAATTTTGCATCGAGTATTTCAATGTTAATATGTAATGTAACGTTTCTCCTTCACAAAAGAGACAGATTGACATTTATCGCAAGGGGTAGGGGGGTAGGAAGATTTTGTTTGTGTCACAATAAGATTTACCTGATCTCCCTGCTGAGGTTTTGTAGTATTATGTTGATCCTCCCTGATTGGTAGTCAAATTTTTAAGCCTCCCCTCCCCCCTGATACTTTTTCAGTGACGACTAATCCCCCTCCGTCCCCCCCCTACCTTTTATTTTTATTTTCCTAATTTCAACAGGGAACATGCCAAAGCAAAAAAGTGTTGGATGGAGGCCATTGAGTCCGACTGCAAATCTCCTTCTGATTTCTTTGATATGCTAAAATTTGAATTGGTCGACTACAATCCTTTCTGCGCCAACAATCGGGATCCTGGGGCGACCGGAAATGATCAGTGCCATGGCGTGAGGGACATAAAAAATCCCTTCAATCAAAAAGACAACGTCAGTGCAGCCGCTGGTATAAAGATTAATGCATCGCTGGCTCTGCTTTTTCCCCTTGTGTCATTCTTGTTCGCTCTTAGGGTTTAAGAGAATCAAAAAGATACACTCGGGGGATTTCCAGAATTTTATAACTATGTTGTCTTGCATTAAGATTTAAGTGTAACTTTCTTCTTTAAGCACAGGACATAGCGGTCGAACAGCTATGTAAATTATAGTGATGTAGATTGGCACCATAATGAGTTTGCAAAACTGAAGTTTCAATTTTTTTATTTCTATTTTTTATTTCTAAGGCTGACGTTTCAAGTGTAAGCCCTTCGTCTTTTCATTCCAACGAATGGCTAACGCTCGAAACCTCAGCTCTACGAAGTCTTTAGAACGTTTATTGGATGGAGGGCGCTTAATCGAGAGGGTACTTATTCATCGACTCTTCAAAAATATCCTGATAACTTTATTAATTATTATGGAAATTGCTAAAACTACTACTCCTCGAAGACTAGAGAATGCTCTAGATGTTCCTGGGATGTTTATGGTATTTACCACGAGCACGGCAATAGCTCGAGCTCGTTATATTAACCCGTATTTCCGCTGTAGTTGAAGCTCAAAAAGTTATAAATAAAGAGGCAACAGAAACAAGTTTTCCTTTTAATGACTATTATTTAAGAAAGTGAGGGACTTTTTTTCGAGAGAGGTGCTTCTGAGGCCTGTTTACATGGAGGTGTGGATACCCAGGTAGGTGGTGTAACCCGCTTAGCCGTGGTCGAAAAATAAACGCGCTTACTTACAATCTTACAACCCCGGGGTTCTGGGGTGAGGTTTCTTGGGGTTGTTGTTGTTGTGCTTGCAATTAAGGAGTTTGAGCAGAGGCGTCCCAAGCTCACATCTCGAGAAAGACGAAAGATTAATCCTTAGACACGTATGTATTTATTCATGATAGCGTCACGCGTTGTGTTACGCGGTGTTTGATTACGCGAGGAACCGTTGACTTAATACGTTATACGGAATAGTTTGGGAAACGAAATGTGGTTGATTTACAACGCCAAATATTCCGAAAATGTGAAAATTTCACACTCCTTGTGTGTCCGTTGGGGTTTCTGGTGATTTCTGCCATGAGACGGCTAGGAAATGCGCAAAGTTTTAAAACATACATGCTTCGCCTTTGAGCTTTTTGCTATGAACCCTACCCCGGCTAGGCGGGTTACTCCACCTTAAGACATTTACATGGCAAATTGTCACCCCGGCTGACAGGGCTGCCCTACCTGGTAGACCGGGCGACCCGCCTAAGCGGGTCACCCCACCTATCATGTAAACGTGAGCAAGATAAAATAAGAAATTATATGGACAGGCGGGTTACCCCACTTAGGCGGGTTACCTCACCTACCTGGGGTCCCTCACCTCCATATAAACAGGCCCTGAAGGATTGGGCGCTCATTCGGAGGTGGGCGCTTATTCGAGGAATTTGCGATTTGAGTGAGCGGTCAATCAACCCAATGATTCACGCTGTAATAGTTTGCATTCAGTTACCTCGACATATAAAGAGGGAATTCTGGTAACTCCTCAGTTCCCTGTGCGACTCTCAGTCGAAAGGCGCTCAGCGTGTCCAGAATGAGCTACAAGACGCTGTTTTTCTTTGTTTCAGTTTTCTTCACCACTAGCTATGCTACGTCCTTGGCTACGTTCACCGACTGTACGCTTACGGAGTACCTCTGCGATACGCGTAAGTGCATGACACAATTCATCAAAAACGTTCAAAATGATACCAGAGGAGACTGTAGGTAAGTTTGTTTGACTTAAGGTGAAACGCAAAAGCTTTCCCTGCTTCTTTTTCAAGAGGAACTAAAAAGTCTATGAAATTTACCGGGTGTTGGTTATTATTCTGGTGTGAATTTTTTTTACCGCGAGTTGATGATGCCACTTCAAGTCGTCCGGTCTTTAACTGGAGCACTACAGAGGTGCTAGCTTGAAAAGACGAAGGAGAATTTCAGCCCAATAATTTCCTAATGGCGTTAAAGTTCTGCAGTTGCTCTCTCGTAACAGACTTTTACTTTTATGCCCTGATCTTTTGCATGAATTTTGAGAATATTATTGGCCATTGATATTGATACAGTTGTCTTCCCTGGGAAGCTCTATGTTTTCATTTTGCCTCAAACACGCGCGAGAGGTAGCTTTTCTTCATACTTATTGCTCCAAACAGGCAGAATACAACTTTCAGATTATGTTTTCGTCGAGAGAAAAAAACTGAAATTTGATAAAAATCACTGGAAACAATAAGAGCATAATTGTGAAGATAACTATTGTTTTTGAGATTACCTCGCATCAAATAAGACATTGCGTGACCCCGAGAAACTTGTGGTTGGCGGCTTTTAGCAGCTTTAGCTCTGCTTTTGGTCAATTAAGTTAGACTCAGTGACAAACAAATCAGAATCTTAAAAAT